AAAAAAATCGAGAAAATTCTTCTCGGCTCGCGATCGAGAGTAGTGTTCACGCGTGCTCGTATGCGCCCTCGCGCGTGAGAGCGCGACGAGTCGTGCAACGCGTGTGTACACATGCCGATCGCGCGCGCGTGCGTGCGTGCGTGCGTGCGTGCGTGCATGAATGCTCGCGCGAGCATTAGTGACGCGTATAAGTGCGCACCGAGTGTAAGTAGGCCACGGTGCTTTCACACGATAAGACCTTATCAGAAGCGCGCGCGTATGCCTTTGGTTCATATCGCGTGCCCTCCCGGCTCCACCGCCCCTTAGAACTTTATTGCCTCTCTACGATCTCGACCCCCCGCCCCCCTCCCCGCCATCCCCGCCCTTTCTTCATCTTTTTCTCGTACGCGTCTTCCTTCTCTGTCTCTCCTGGGATCTTTCCGGTATTTATTTTCCATTAGTAATCGAGAGATTATCCAATTCTTACTATCGTTTATAGTGGGATATCGGAATTTTTTCTTTTCAAACCGATTTGCGTTATCTGTAGAATTGTTGTCTTTAAATAGTGGTAAGATAGGAGTAAATATGTAGCATATTTATCTTTAGAGTTTTGTTTGAATTTATGAGTTTAATTTATTTGTGCAAATAACGGTGTTTCCGTTGTATGTAAGATCGTTTTTTTCTTTTTCTTTTTTTTTTTCCATTAGCGTAACTTTCAACACTGATATTTTTGTAATTGAGATAATTGATATTTTTAAATCGAAAGAGAAATAGAAAGAGGAGATGCAACATTTCTGTAAGATTTGAAAGTTCACAAGAAACTACAGATATATTTATCATTTTATGTCTATTTATACTCAGATTGGCGTCATCTGTCAAGATTTGCAAATATAGAAAATAAGAATAATTAGATTGTCGTATGCATATAACGTTGCATTGAGAAATAGTAAAACGTTATATGCATTTATTATTACATGCATATTTTACAAGGGTACATACAAAATGAAAAAACGAATGATATTTATAACCTGATATTTCGAAAATTTCCGGTTTTTCCGAATTTCGCTATTAAGCAAAAACTTGATATTTCTGAGAGAAGAAAAAAATTGGAACTGTTACAAATTGAATCTGGGGTGAGAGAAATATTATTGTATTGTTACAAGGGTTACAATAAAGATTACATTTAAAAGGGTACTTTTACACAAGGTAATTTCCAAACTAAAGCAGTTGTCAGCAGTTGCCCTCATTTATAACTGTCAACGTTATTGCACTTATGTCGAAAATGTGAAAGTTGTCACAGACAAAAGAGGTACACATTTTTCGTCATTATTTCACTTTTGATTGATTTCGAGTTATATTTCATCGGAAAACTTCTTAGGGAAAATTTCGTACTTTTATTTTTCAAACAAAAGGTAAATACTTGGCAGTAAGATGAATAATAATAAGTTACAGTATATTCTTCAATTACAGTATTCTTAATCCTTTTGAAAACATTTCGAGATCAATGCATCAAATAAAACTTTACGCCATTCAAAATCAAGGAAGCTTATTTGAAATAAAACTAGAAAGAGTGAATAGATAAATAAATAGCCGACATTTCTCTAATTTTACGCTTTTCCTTTCTAATTAAGAAAAATACAGCTTTAAGATATATTATGCATTTTTAATTTGATTTAGTATGTTATTAGAAAACGTTCAAGTTCAATTTCAATTAAAACTCGTAGTAAGCATCTTAAACAGCAGACTTAAATTTCAGGAAGTTAAGCGTTTTAGCTAACAATCTTTACGATTGTTTATTGTTCGTACGTAAATTCAAAACGGTTGTCTGCTTTGCGTTATTTCATAACGTTTGTCCGCGTTAGAGAAATTTTCTTCGCATGAGCGCGCTTATGGGCGCAGCAAGATTTTCTCCGCGTGTCACGTCCCTGGACCGCATCGAGACGCGTTAACGCGACGTACAAATAACAATGTGCAGACCTTGAAACCGGCAATGGTGCAAGGCATCAGGCGCAAAACGTTCGCATAACGCTCCGCGGCATTACATAATGACCCGTAATGCGAATGCAGCGTCGGCGTCTGCTGCATTCAGAATCGGGTGAAATGTCAGAATCGTTTAGAAAAAGACAGGAAGATAATACGTGCGTGCGTGCGTGCGTGCGCGTCCATGTGTGTTGCGTGCGTATGCATGCGCGTGTGCCTAAGCGGACGTTTAATCGCGTGTCAAGTCAAGGCGATAGATGATTGTATCGATTTATCGTAGCGGGCGTCTTATCGCACCGTGGCTGCTCTCAAAATATCAACAATTAGCGTATTCTAATAAAGGAGTTTCAAGCTAATCTTGAGTTTACACCGCGTTTTTTTTCGTTATAACAATCAAAAATTCTTGTGCCTGTTCATTTTCTTTTTTTGTATCCAAATCCGCAATCAAATGAAACGACGTACCATAGAATATGCAAAATCATACATTTGTTTTTTCAACGATATTATCTTTACTCTTTACAGACATATTTCAAAAGCGTCGTCAAAATATTTTTTTAATATTTTTTTAACAGAGTAACATCTCAAAAGTCTCGCTCGCATTAAGTTTGTATTAATGTTTCCTTTCAAATACCCGTATATCCGTAACATAAAACATTATTCGCAGTTTTATTGGCATTATACTTCTCACGCAGTTCCTTCAAATACTTTCTAGAAATGTAAAAAAGATAAGAGCGATACATTAACTCGTTTTGTATCGCGACGAATCGTGTACCGCCTATAATAAAACGTTAAGTATATAGGTAAGAAATGCTGTCATAAAAGTACGCTCGTTTAAAAGAGATACAAGCGACGAGAAAGCACTAGAAAAGAAAGCGGACGTGAACAACGTAGTTACGAATGACCGTGAATTAATGACGTGACGCGAGCTTATGAATTGTGAGAATCTGGTCGATTGCGAACAGTCACTGAATAATTGAATCCTATTTGAAGCCAATCACTCTCGATGCTTATCTCGAACGCGTTCCGTCTATTAAGATTATAAATGCTTTTTATAGATGTGTCATATATGCTTCCTATTCTAAACGCGTGCATACACGTGCATACACACACACACACACACACACACACACGCATACGTTATCCATGATGGATAATTAACGAAAATTAGACTTATTCTGCATAAATAAGACGGAACCAATTAACTTCATCGAGTAAAAAAAAAGTAGAGAAATTTGATGAAGTGGTAAACTAATTATGTGCTCGACTCATTGAAACTATTTCACTGTAACAATTGTCGTTAATTGATTTTTGTGTGTCTCTTCTCATCTCTATGGATCGGATCGGCTCTGAATGACGATGCTGTAGGATTGCGTCAACGCAATCTCTATAACCATTTCCATCGGCGGCACGAGCTGTCGTTTCAGAAAGACGACCTCTTACGCAATTTCTCGCCGTTGTTTTTTTTTTTTTCCTATTTTCTTACGGCGAGACGCGTGCGCACGCGTATTCCTCTTTGGAAAGTCGAGGTCTCGGCTTATTATCTGGCCGCGTACGTGGAAAAGAGACCTTATCGTTCGTCACCAAGCTGCAGATCCGCCACGATCCGCCGTGCTCCGTCAGCAGGCGCGTCAAGCGCGCGTTGTTTCGCGAAAACCTTCGCGGTCGCGCATTCAATTCGCCTTTCACTGAATCGGGTCGGTAATAACGCAGCGTCTCTCTAAAATTATAACAATCCGCATTAATATTAATTAACGATTGCATTAACTTTAAGACCAATTACCCGCTTTATCAATCTGCTGATAAAGCTGGAGGAAACGTGAAAATTTAATATCGACGAAGAATGTTACGTTAATTATTTTAATAATAGTACTTCCTCTCTCTCTCTC